ATCATAAATACCATACAAAAACAGTTCAATACTTATATTTACGTTTTCTCTGCCTCTTATGTTCTTTTTTAACTTATAATTTATATTTAAAATGCCCGCCTTATCGACAGTCCACACAATTTCGCTCAATAGTTTGAACAGCGTATTGTCGCGTGCTGATTGGCAAACAAAGTAGTACTTTGAAATTTTAACAAACGCTTCAATTTTATTCCACAATTCAGTATCAATACAATTGCGTATGATATGTCTATAGTGTGATTTAAGTTTATCAATAGAACTCTGAGCTGAAAGTTAGATTTCAAATTGTTTCGATTTTTCACCGGAACAAATTTCGCGCATGGACAAATACAGTGAACACCGTACATCCGACCTTGTCCTCCACGAGGGAGTTATTTTTGGAAGTTAATTCGAACTTTTCTCTTTGCTCATTTTGTTAAGAATCCAGGCGTGAATGTATTTGTTGATTGTATGGGAACCTGACAACAGTCGGTAGATTCTATAACGGACTCGTTATTTGACATGTCGTCAGAAACTGAGGAACCGTGGATGCGAGACGCGTGAAACTGATAGCGTTTGAAGCGAGTGATCTTGCGGCGGAGCACAGGTTCGTTACAAATGTCTGAAATGTTTATGTGTGGTGTGACTCATATCAATAGATCTGTAACATATGTGTCAGTAGGTCTATAGAGTATGTGTATTTCAGACATTTGTAACGAACCCCTGTTGATCAGTGCAGTGTAACAGACGATATTTCTGATAAACTGCATGAGTGTTAAAATTGTTTCCATTGCCGGTATTGGTGATTTCAACCGATGTGCAGTTTGTACGATATTGCAGACCTTGGTCTTGTTTTTTCGTTGTAATAAAAGAGTTTTTTAATTTAATTTTTTATTTTGCACATAAATTTACAAGGACATTGTCAAATCTCACAATGCCCAGCGATATTTCAGCAGCCGTCATGTTTATTTATATTGGATATTGTAGTTCCGGTCAGTGTTGTATTAATACGCTAAGAATTGTGTCTCGTAATGCATGGTAATTAAAGTCCCATCAACGACACAGCTTTCAAAGAGGCTATATAGTGACAACGCCATGCAAATGTAAATATATGTCTATGACGGTAAAGAAAACAATGGCGGCTTCCCTTTGCGACGCTTGACTGCGACATTACCAGATCAGTGTGTCAATGCGTTTACAAAACGATTGTTATAAATAAATAGAAATGTTCGATATGCTTCTTATATTACTAAATTAAAAATTGAAAGGCGATGAAAAAAAGAAAAATATTACTTTTAAATGTATCCATACATCGATGCAGATTCACTGGAACTATATTACCCTAGCAACCAGGGCTACTGTAGATACCATCGTAGCAACCTGCGTCGACTTTTATTTCAGTGTATGGCATTGGAACATTATTTATGATGTAAATATAAGGATTGACCTTCATTTTGACGGCGGATATGGTAGTATGAACGCAATTGGCAACGAACATATTATATGGTGCGCTAACGAACATATTATTAATGGAGCGCCAATGCGCATCATAGAATATGTTCGTTGCCAACTGCGTTCATACTTCAGCATACGCCGTCAAAATGGAGGTTAATCCTTCAATAGATATTTCATAAAAACAAAACAAACGTGGTTATTACAATCAACATTCTAACCCTTAACTGGGAATTCGTTTTCGTGAAAAGAGAAGCAGCTGGAATTGATGTAGTTTGGAGTGGATGCTCGCCTTTTTACATCGTACTGACATACTTAACATATTTTCCTTAAGAACCATTTTACATGTGGGATACAGACATTGCAACACTTAATGTCTTTTGTAAACTATGTCGCTAGTCTCCATCTACTGCAACACTGAGTGTCTGTATTAAACTATGTCGCTAGTCTCCATCTTCTGCAACTCTAAGTCTCTGTAGTAAACTATGTCGCTAGACTAGTAAGTGTCTTTAGTAAACTATGTCGTTATTCTCCATCTACTACAACACTGAGTGTCTGTAGTAAACTATGTCCCTAGTCTCCATCTACTGCAACACTAAGTCTCTGTAGTAAACTATGTCGCTAGACTACTAAGTGTCTTTAGTAAACTATGTCGTTAGTCTCCATCTACTACAACACTGAGTGTCTTTAGTAAACTATGTCGCTAGTCTCTATCTACTGCAACACTGAGTGTCTGTAGTAAACTATGTCGCTAGTCTCCATCTACTACAACACTGAGTGTCTGTAGTAAACTATGTCGCTAGTCTCCATCTACT